TTCTGGTAAAATCCACCGATATGCGCTGCATTCTCACTAAAAATATAAACATTTGCCGTGAAGAAAATACGACGAGGAGGAAAAAATGCCAGATCTTCGCCTTGGCAATGTATTCCAGCTACCAAGCCGGCGTATCTCCAGAAGGTGGACTCGAGGTGGGACAAACCTTGTGATTTTTTAGGAGCCCTTTGCGCGCAAACTAATTTATTCTGGCGCGAAATGAAGATTAAGAAAATGCATCTGAAATCTAATACACGACAAGAAAAATTTTCGCACTTTCGAGGAGCGCGACATATTAAATGGGATTGAAGGAACAGTATCCCGTTATTGCGCATGCACCAAACTTTGATTTTTGGACAGGATGTCCCGAAATCAAAAGATGCGAGAAGAGTGAGAGAACCTTGAAAAATCCGTTTGCATCGCGCTTGGCTGAGTTCAATACGACACTAAAACTTCTCAGGATTACAGATCAATGATATATTGTTCCCGTTAAGTTTCGATTTGGGCGAAATCAGGATTTTTTGGCGTTACTTTTATTGCCGTTGGCCGGAGGACAAAAGGATGGGAAGCGCTTTGATGCCGATCGAAGGCCTATTTCTTTTGCCAGCTTCCACACAATCTCAGATAATTGTGAAAGGAATACGCAGAAATGAAACAGCAACAATTAAGACTGTAAGAAAGAAACCTGAATGAGACATTGATGTGAATGAGGAGATCTTGTCCTGAGCTTGTGGAATGAAGCTTCGTGAAGCAGAATGTTTTGCAACGACGCACGTTAGTAAACTTTTACTCCCTACAGCCGACAAAATCAAACAAACAGGCGCTACATGTTAAAACTACATGAAAAACTTGTGCAATGAAATCATAGGGATGATTCATAACGTTTAGATTGCATTTTTATTTATACCTTTCAAACGTTTGAGGCAAGAACGCGAGCAAATCAGGTAAATATTACTGGACTTGGAACAATTCAGCTGACAATTTATTGACCTCTGACACGAGTTTCACATTAGAAAAGCTGTTTTTAAAGCGAGCGGAACGAGATTTTCGGTTCGCGAGGCGGCCCTGCTAGCGATCATAAAATTGCGATGAGTCTTCGTGCCGCGAGCCAAATTTTAAATAAGACGAAAGACTTCTTCGAAAGTCTAAAACATTACTTGAGAATGTAAACAACAAATCTCCGTCGGCGGTGCGGTCCGGAAGGAAATCTTGTCGAGTCAGTATGACAGTTCTATTGTCTTTTGAAGAAAAAACAGATGACGCTCGCGCGTGCGCATAATCGGGACACTGTCCCTTTAAGTCGGATTAGCTGCCCGCGGAGAAAACATCACTGCGTGGGATGGTACTTCCAGTAAAAAGCCTCTGTGTCCTCTCATGATGACGACTAAGTCTTTGGCCTCGGAAACAGGCTCTTGGGAGTCAAATGAATAAGGCGAGAGCAACATTGCAGGTAAACCTCGACCCAGTGTTTTATCTGGTTTAAAAACAAGTTAAGGTCAATGCTAGTCTGCCTAACCGTGTGATTGTACATCCGGGAATTTGAATAAGACGAGTATACGAGAAAGCACTCTGGCTTGCCTGCAATTTACTCGATGGGCTTTCCCCTTTGATACATCACAAATACACGAAAATAACATATTTTTCTTTTAAAAAGGCTTACCCACCCAAATTCCCAGGTACCATTTTCATTTTCTTCACTTTATTTATTTTCAAACTGTATTCTCCCTATTGTCTTCGAGGGCTGACGCCAGCACTTACTTTCAAATTGAAACTCCTAGGTACTCGAAAATTAGTTACCTCTAAAATGGTTAATTTTGCGCCAAATCGAAACACAACGTAAATATCTGGGACTCCCTTTCCTACCCTACTGAGTTTTTTTACCCCTACCCCAGGGGAAGTACTGACGTGATAACAAAACTTTCTAGCATCGATAGGTTTTCATTTGCTTTAGCTATGGGGCTTCGCTGCGAGTGCGCGGACGCTCCGAAATAAGAATTAAGGCCGGCAGAGCAGAAGCGAGACGTACTAACTAGGCCTTTAATTTTCGTGAGGCTAAGGAGCATTTGAAGTTACTTGACTCACAGGTACGGATTCCGCTAGGACTACATGCTTGACAGCATTCCTAACTTTTATCCCCTCTTTTTTAAACAGAAAGACTCCTGTTAATCCCCTAGAAGTATTTCATCTCTTAACGAACTGCCTAGTGATACTGACAAAGTAGGCCAGTGTGCAGTGGAAATAATGTAGAAATTCTATAAAAACGGCTGGCCAGATCGTAAAAAAACGGTGAGTTTTTCCATAGAAATTCTCTAGTAAACGTTCGGAATGTAGAACATGTAGTCTTAACGAGATCCGCGGCAGTGAGTCAAACCACAGTGACCATGTTAGTCACACGAATGAAGTCAGCTTTATCGTAAAATTGGGCGCAACTAACCCATGAAACAGTTCATTCTACACAGTCTTTAAGGCACTAACGACTCGCCAGGATTTCTGGACCATCTGATAATTAACCAGCCTGATACAACGTTCGGGTTTAGTGGGTGTCTTCTAACCTGGTGCAAATTTTGCGCAAGCTCGTTCTTAGCAAGCCTTTACTGTTTATTTAACGTCGTTGAAGTAAACAGAGCTCTGATTATTGACTTTACTTCTGTTTTGATATTTTTTAGCTTAGATCGGTTCACTCTACATGTCACTCCCCTGGATTTTTGGACCATTGGTAACCCGTCTGATGAAACGTTTCGGATTTAGAATCACAGCCATAAGTGGTTGTCTTATAATCTCGATCAGCTTTTGTGCAAGCTCCTTTGTGGACAATTTTTGGTTTTTCCTTGTTTTATTCTCGGTAACTGGAGGATTGGGCTCAGCAATGTCCTACCACTGCAGTGTTCTAGTTGTTCTGAGGCACTTTGTGAAGTGGCGTTCTCTTGCGGTTGGAATAACAGCCTCGTCATCAAGTGTAGGCATGTTCGTCGTGACACAACTCACAGAGGTTCTCATTTCAAATTATGGATTTAAAAATGCTCTTAGAGGGTGGGCCATCTTGTTTTTCTTGGCAACCCCACTGGCGTTCTCTTATGACCCAAAATCGAATGTTACCGTAGATAACGTCAAAAGAATTGAAGAAGGATCCGAAAAAAATGTCTTGGTCATTCCTGCACCAAGCCTTTTACAAAATGGACGTTTCATCATCTATCTAGTCTCCGTTACCCCGGTCTTCTTTGTCGTGTATACGCTGTCAATTTTCCTAGTAAGTTGTGACTTAACTTTACTGAATATTTTTTATACAAATAACACTATCATTAATCCTTTCTCTAAAGACACTTACCTGCAACAATTACCTAGAATATGGTCCTTGGTCCCCACCCCGCAATATAAAGGGGACTACAGGAACTCGAGGAGTAAGAGATAATTGCCGGCGTCATATCCCTGTAAGCTTTGTAACAATTGCCCTAATGTTCTCTAACTCTTTTACCCCGTTACCCTTACATCACGGCCTGAAAACTTTTTATAAAACTGCAATGTTAAGGCTACTTAAGTTAGAAAACATTTATTTCACTAGAGAAGACTGGCGCTTAGGGTTGGAAGGTGTAGAGTGGGAATAAGCCAAGCCCTAACGTATCAATATCTGAGATTTCGGCCTGTAACGACCTCACTCTCGGTTAATAAGTGGTATACAATCGCCAGTTACTGAAATATTTGGTTGTTTTTTCCCTTGTAGGTGAAATTTTGTGAAAGTGAACTTGGCATTTCGTCAGAACGAGGCTCCATGCTATACACCTACATGGCCATCTCTTACTTCTTTGGCAACCACTTGTTCTGCAAGCTAAGTGAATTCAAATTCATAAACATCTTTGATCTTTATCAATTTTCAACGACATGTCTCGGCGTCTGCTTGTTTCTGTTACCCGTGGCAACATCTTACAAAGCTGTGGTGGTGTTGTCTGTTATGTTTGGTCTCATGGATGGTGGACGATACGGCTTAATGCCACTGATAGTGTTAACATGTGTCGGACAGAAGAAAATTGACCAAGCTTGGGGCTATCTTACTCTTTTTATCGGTCTTTCTAGTGTCATAGGTCCAGTTTTTATAGGTAAGTTATATTTCGTTCAAGAGTTTCCTAATAAGCAAAACTCACCTTGTAACTGCGTCCGCACGTGCAAGGACAGACTTTCTTTCCGTAAGGTTTTCACTATACAACAACGGCAGCAACCGATAGCTAATATTTGAGGACAGTTTTTGAATACAATTTCTTAACGCACCTACAAAATTTGTCTCCTTATGCAAAAAAACTATCTATGATAACAGAGCAGTGAAACGCCGACGCTGCTTAGATTCCAAACACTTTTGAACACCGCGACCTCTTTTTTCGGCCTGACAATTAATGATTTTCCAGGTTTTAAGAGGCTGTCTCAGTAAAAACCGCCCACTCAATTTCGCGTGAAAAATAATTTTGCCTGAAACTCTGGCGAGTGAAAGGCTTGATCGAGACTATAACTAAAATAGGTTTGCTTTGATTCACAATAATTTTCTGGCCGCGCTGGGGGGCGCCGAGTATTTTATCCCGCCACAGCCATTTTGCACGTCTTGAAAACTGAAAATTTGGTATTTTTTGCGGCGCTGTAAAATGTTTGATTTGCACCATCTACCAATGAATTTTATACCTATTTATAGGTAAACATCTCTAGTTTTTCCTGAAAGTAATAGTTATCCGCTAAATTTAGCTGGAAAGACGAAATCAAGCAAAATATGACCCCAACTAATTGCCTTGGAGCGAAAGGCCAAAAATTACCCTGTTTTAAAAGCTTATTTCTGACTTTTGGGACATAGTTGAAAGCTCTAAACTAAATAGACGCAAAGATAGACCATCTGTTATTAATAATATACAAAACCCCATGTACGATTTCAGTATTTTAAAAGTTATGACCGTTTGTATCAACGCGTATGCCAGCTAATACGATATTTTCAGATTTAGCGTAACACATCTACCTCAAGCAGATTTTGTCAAAAGTACGGCTTACCTAATTCATTACTGGCACTGACTCGCAAATTGAGCAATATTCCAATCCCTGAGATGCTGGACTCCATAAAATTCCAGTAAATGTGCTTTAGAAACTGCTGGTATGCGGCCATTTTTGAATCCCATGCTAACAATCCGAAGCTCAAAACAGGTGAAACTGTATCACGTTTCGAGCAAAATAGCTCGGTAAAACAACCGTTCAGAGGTGAAAGTTTGCTCGAGAATCAGAAAACCAACTAGGCAGGTCTCATTTTGGATCAGAAAATTGAGATTTCAGAGCCACAACCTCGAATAAACTTTCCATTCAACCGGCTCTGCAAGGTCAAATGCAGGTTAACACGTAAACCGGAAATGTTGAAACCCGGAAATAGGGACAACCGGAAATGCGGAAATCCGGATCATCCGGAAATCGGCAAATCTGAAATCAATCAGGAGCCGAGGGCAATTCCAACAATTAGAGATAGCTGCATTCGATTAGGGCTTCTTTTCAACGTTGAGACATGTAAAAGATAAAACCTTCCAAACCGGCGTAGCTGTTTGATTTTCACTGAACTGAAACGCAGTTCCACGATCGATTGCGTTTGGCAAATAGGTTCCATAAGAAACAGTAAATATCATTAACCGGTTACAAACATTCTAAGTGCGCTAACATATCACACTTGTGACTAATACTTTACAGAAGTTGGCTATATATCGAAACTGAATGCGTCGAGATCTAGGAAACCGAGCCAGCTCGGTTGTCTGGGCTTATAAGTATAGACGGTCCTTGACAGTCGCTTGTTAAGAGCGGATAAATAGTCCCGGCCTGTGAGTAAGTTTACAAGAAACCGATCAGGGAGGAGAAGGCTTGAGTGAATGGGAGAAAGCCTTCTTCAAATTTTACTGATCCTCTTCCTGAATCTTCTCCCGTCCCTCTGACTATTTTTACAACAGGAGCTAGATTTTCCTCCTCCGTCTCCTCCCAAACTTTACCTAATTCATTCCTGGCACTGACTAAAAGATTGACCAATATTTCATTCAAAATTCTAGTAAATGCGCTTTTGAAACTGCTGGTATGCGGCCATATTTGAATCCCATGCTGAAACTACCGTAAAATTCCGAAAATAAGTCCCTCCATGTATAAGCTCCTCCAAACTCGTAACACAAAAAACCCTCCGTGAAATCGCCCCTCCCAATATAAGCCCCCCGGGGTCTTGTACTTGGAAAATTGCCCTCAAATACAAAGTAAAACAAAGCAAAAACGGTTAATTTCTTTCCAGCTATAAGCTAGCCCAATAGATTTTGAAACGCAAACTTTCCTCCGTACATAAGCTCCTACGAATATAAGCCCGTCCAAAAATAAGCCCCTCAAAAAGGGCCTTTGAAAAATATAAGACCCGGGGCTTATTCTCGGAATTTTACGGTATGTCACGTTTCGAGATAAATAGCTGAGTAAGAAAGAAAACAAAAGAAATGTCCGGAGGTGAGACTTGTCCGAGAATAAAAACATCAGCTAAGCAGATTTCGTTTTGGGTCAGAAAACCCAAATTTATCGACAAATGTAGGATTATTTTTTCGACCATTTAACGATGTTTTGTAGCTAATCTTAAAACAAAGTGTCTTAGCGCCTTTCTTGGCCATATTGCATCGGATTTTTGGTCTACAAAAAGGGTCGCCCCTGAGGACTTGCCAATAGTGTTACCATTAGGTGTTAATATTGGTCTTAAGGTCTAAACACGCATACAGAATTAAATCCTTTCTTAAAGCTACTCTAGATTAAATGGGAGTTTCTTGCAACCATACCCTATAATCCAAATGACTTTCCTCTGCTCTCCTCGCGTTATCCGCTATCCAAGTTATTCGTGAATCAAAAAGATTAAGGTTGAGATTGAGCCCTTGGTCCAATAATTTTTGGAGAATTTCTGGATGATTCTTCGAATGTTTTTAATGTATAAAAAATTAGGGAGGATGTTAAAAATGTCGGAAAAGTTGGAAAATATTGGATTTGGGGGTTGTTAGAAATTAAAATATGAAGTGAATAATCAGAAGAAAAATTAATACCAGAGACTCCAACAAGGAGTGCCTCTGATCCCATTAGCGGACTAACTGCGCTTAATGTGCATACCTTTTCTACTCTTATTTATTTCTTTCCCAAATCACCATCATTTTCCCCGAAAAAAATCAACCAGTATGCCCCCTTAACAAGCGACTGTCAAGGACCGTCTATACTTATAAGCCCAGACAACCGAGCTGGCTCGGTTTCCTAGATCTCGACGCATTCAGTTTCGATATATAGCCAACTTCTGTAAAGTATTAGTCACAAGTGTGATATGTTAGCGCACTTAGAATGTTTGTAACCGGTTAATGATATTTACTGTTTCTTATGGAACCTATTTGCCAAACGCAATCGATCGTGGAACTGCGTTTCAGTTCAGTGAAAATCAAACAGCTACGCCGGTTTGGAAGGTTTTATCTTTTACATGTCTCAACGTTGAAAAGAAGCCCTAAACGAATGCAGCTATCTCTAATTGTTCGAATTGCCCTCCGCTCCTGATTGATTTCAGATTTGCCGATTTCCGGATGATCCGGATTTCCGCATTTCCGGTTGTCCCTATTTCCGGGTTTCAACATTTCCGGTTTACGTGTCAACCTGCATTTGACCTTGCAGAGCCGGTTGAATGGAAAGTTTATTCGAGGTTGTGGCTCTGAAATCTCAATTTTCTGATCCAAAATGAGACCTGCCTAGTTGGTTTTCTGATTCTCGAGCAAACTTTCACCTCTGAACGGTTGTTTTACCGAGCTATTTTGCTCGAAACGTGACACAGTTTCACCTGTTTTGAGCTTCGGATTGTTAGCATGGGATTCAAAAATGGCCGCATACCAGCAGTTTCTAAAGCACATTTACTGGAATTTTATGGAGTCCAGCATCTCAGGGATTGGAATATTGCTCAATTTGCGAGTCAGTGCCAGTAATGAATTAGGTAAGCCGTACTTTTGACAAAATCTGCTTGAGGTAGATGTGTTATGCTAAATCTGAAAATATCGTATTAGCTGGCATACGCGTTGATACAAACGGTCATAACTTTTAAAATACTGAAATCGTACATGGGGTTTTGTATATTATTAATAACAGATGGTCTATCTTTGCGTCTATTTAGTTTAGAGCTTTCAACTATGTCCCAAAAGTCAGAAATAAGCTTTTAAAACAGGGTAATTTTTGGCCTTTCGCTCCAAGGCAATTGGTTGCGGTCATATTTTGCTTGATTTCGTCTTTCCAGCTAAATTTAGCGGATAACTATTACTTTCAGGAAAAACTAGAGATGTTTACCTATAAATAGGTATAAAATTCATTGGTAGATGGTGCAAATCAAACATTTTACAGCGCCGCAAAAAATACCAAATTTTCAGTTTTCAAGACGTGCAAAATGGCCGTGGCGGGACAAAATACTCGGCGCCCCCCAGCGCGGCCAGAAAATTATTGTGAATCAAAGCAAACCTATTTTAGTTATAGTCTCGATGAAGCCTTTCACTCGCCAGAGTTTCAGGCAAAATTATTTTTCACGCGAAATTGAGTGGGCGGTTTTTACTGAGACAGCCTCTTAACCTTTTGTAAGCGACCGTCACTTTCTCTAATCTCTATTTGCGCTGTGTTAGAAGGTCGAAGAACCTTAGCGACAACATGGAACAACACATATCCTAACTTAGACATTGCATGCAATAAATTATCTTTCGTAAAGTAGATGTGCCTGGACCTCTTCTCAGAAGAGATCCGTTGTGGTTCGGTTCTTGTAAATGACCACTTCCCGTAAGCGACTACTCAGTCTTTGCATTTTGGGTGGTTGCTTACGGGAAGCCTCGACCGTTCTAAAGTAAAGCACGTTCTCACTTGGCAACATTGACATAACTATAAGCACAAGAAAAACAGGTTCTGAAAGTTAATAGAGAGCTTTAGATTCTAAGACGAGTATGACAACGAGTACGAGATTTTCTCAATACTACGTAGTGTAAGCGCGTGAGCCAGCGTCATTCTGGCGGGAAAACGTGGTAGCCGTCGTCACTCTATTACGAGTTTTAGCGAGAATGTGGAAGTGGCGGAAACAAGTTAACAAATGTTAGAAGTTTTATCATTTTGCGATCGGGAGAGGGTGTAACCTCCTCCACTAAAGGTATAACAGTGCTAACTTTTTTAGTGAAAAATGGTAAAATGAAGCTTTCCGGAGAGTCCATATTTTCAGAATACCGTATTTATTCGATTAACCGCCCTGGGTGCTTATTAAATTTTTGGACCTTGAGAGTGGGCGCCTATTCGAGGTGGGTGTTTATTCGAGGCTGGGCGCTTATTGAAGTTTCACCATTTTCAGCAAGTGTAGTATGTTCATTTTGCAACAAAACAACAAATGGTAACAACAAAACGAGAAGATGTAACAATGCAAGGTTTCTGTAAAATACTCTGAAGAAATTAAAACTCCGTCTTCGGGGAAGTCTCTTATTAGTACTTATTCAATTTTTTTGTGTGTGTGTGGGAGGAGGAAGCGGGGTAGGGGTGGGCGCTTATTTTAGTGTGAGTGAAAAGGGGAGGGCTGTGCGGTGGGGGTGGGCACTTATTTTCTGCTTCTAGGATGGGTGCTTATTCGAGGTGGGCGCTAATTCGAGGTTGGGCGCTTATTGGAATAAATAGGGTATACGAAAAAACTTAAAGTCAAATCTCGTACTTCTATTCGTCCTTTTCCTTGAATCTAACGGTCTCTAACATTTCCAAACTCTCCGACAGGTTTCATAGCTGACACTGCCCACGAGTACGGACCTGCCTTTTACACTGCTGGGGGAATCATGGTTTTCGGATCAACTGTTGTATTCCTTAACAGGTTTTTGAAGAAAGAGAATTTAGTTGAAGAAGCGCATGAAGAGAAACACAAGTTTTTGGAATTCTTCGTTCAAGAAAAAGAAACCGTACTATAGTTAAACTGAGACTAAAATGGTTTAACTACGCAATAGAGAAACAGAGCTACAAAAGCAGCAGATTAAATAATTAGAACATGACATTTTAAATATATAGACTGCAAAACAGTCCGTATTTTTGCGTATTCAAGTACGCAAAGCGAGCAGTCAAACAAAAGGTCTGGAACGTGAGGCTCGTGCGCTTTGTGCCCGTAAGACTCTTACGACACGTTTTACTGATTTCTTTACTGATTTTGAGAAAAAAACCGACTGTTTTGCATTCTATTTTAAATATAACATTTTACTTAATTATATTTTAAAGCACTCCTACATAGAGTATATAAACCCTAAATATGCACCTTTTGACGTAAGTCCACTTGTTTTCTTATTTCAGACCACTTGATGTTACTGAAAAGAACTAGTTTTTCAAACTGTTTTTACAGAACTTTGCTGCTCGAATTGCGACAGTACGCGCAAATATGATCACATTACACCAATTTTAAAAGAGCTTAAATGGCTACCAGTAGCAACTCAGTTATACTTTATTAACGCTATCATGGCCTTTAAATGCCTTACTTCTCGCTATCCCGCGTGCTGGAGTACCTTTTCTCCCAGTTCATTAAGCGAGGAGAAATAAGCGGACGTGCCACGAGAAGTTCGCAGATGCTGAACATTCCACTTTTTAAGTCTGCTAGTGGTCAGACGTTTTATTATAGAATAGTCAGTATCTGGAACTCCATGGATAGCCATCTTAAATGTTTTGAATCAGTATCTGCCTTGAAGTTCAATCTGATACGTAAACTGGTCAAGGATTTTATAGATTCGTGAGTTTTTATCATGTCATTTAAATTTTAGTGTGAATATTTTTATTACAGTTTTTAAGTACAAGTTTTTCATTTAATCAATACATTATACTCCTGACAAATATTATTGTAAATATTTTAAGCGTCCTTGAAGTAGGTTTTTTATTGTGGTAAATTTTTATCTTTTTAGTTGTATGTAATTAATTGAATTATTGTCTTTGAAAAGCCTCCATGAGGAAAGCCAATAAAGTATGTATGTATGTAAAGCACACACTAGAAGTAGGTGTGTCGCAGAACCTCGCGCAGCTCGGGGGAAGAGGCACGTAAAAAGTTAGGGATGGGAGGGAGAGAAAAAATAGAGTGAATTGTGTAACAGGGGAGGGTGCTCTATGGAAATGTAACGTTATGTGTTTTGTACTGCCACAAGACAGTCTTTGCAAACGTAAACAAACGATGTTCAATCCATGAGATTCACCTAAAGCTATTGAAGTAATCAGGGCACTAATTTTACTTCTATTCTGATTTTTCAGCTTGGATTGGTTCACTCTACATTGCACTCTCCCATATTTTTGGATCATTGGCAACTCGCCTGATTAAACGTTTTCGGATTTAGAATCATAGCCATAACTGGGTGTCTAATGATGTCGATCGGCTTTTGCGCAAGCTCGTTCACAGACAATTTTTGGCTTTTCTTTTTTATGTTCTCGGTAATTGGAGGATTAGGTTCAGCAATTTCCTACCCCTGCAGTGTTTTAGTTGTCTGAATCACTTTGAGAGGTGGCTCAGGCTCTTGCGGTTGGAATAACAACCTCGTCATCAAGGGTTGGCATGTTCATCGTCACACGAATCACCAATTCCCTTATTTCGGAAACCTTCTTGAAACAGTCACCTGTTGGTCCCCTGCCAGCCCTTGGCCGGGGTCCCCACCGTTCATCTTGGATTTCAGTAAAGCGTTCGACAGCGTTAATCATGATCTTTACGGAAGGAAGCTTTCAGTTAAGGTGAAGTGGACCACCTATTTAGCGCTTTAGTTTTACCGAATTTCACTTATGGTCTGTCTGTTTATGGCGCCGGCTGTAGACTCAGATCTCACGGTCATACCAAATAGAAACTTTAAAAGGAAATACACATCTAAGAGAATGGACATTCGAGAACTTCTAGGAAAGGCAGATAAGAAGCTTTTCAAGGTACGTTCAGTGGATCCCGATTGCCCGCTTACTAACATCATTCCGAAGAAGAAAGAAACAAAGTATTAACTCAGAAACAAAAGTGCTCATCGCTCGCGGAGATAAAGACCGATAGATTTAAGAATGTTTATGTAAACAGGTTTATTTTTAGGTATAATCTTTGATCTTTCTGTAGCCTGCGAGCAAGCTCTCCTATTTGGGCAAGCGAAGTGAGCCTCGCGAGAACTCGCGAGCGAGGGGCCGAGGAAAGGAGAGAGCTCTCCTTTCCCCTGCCCCTCGCGGCTTTGCCGCTCGCTCGCGCGTTCTCGCGAGACTCACTTCACTCGCTCAAATAGGAGAGCTTGCTCGCAGGCTAATCTTTCTGTTATTTGTATACAGTATGTCTTATGTAAATTTAGACTTCCAACTGCTGATGTAACTTGAATGTCTTTTTATGTTAGGAGGAATAAAGATTGATTAATTGATTGATTGATTGACTGATTGGCAAGCTACCAATGTTCAAGAAAAAGTGAACTGCGTAGAGAACTGGTCCAGGGAAAGTAAGTTTCCGTTTAACAGTGACAATTTTAGGGAATTACGTACTATATCTTTCGCTTAGAACAAAGTAGGGTTTAAACCAACCGTGGTGGTAGATGGCAATATCCTTGAAGTTGTACGTAGCACATCGTAAGTTATTTGGAGTCACTATCAGATCAGTAGCAACCTTTCATTAAGTATCCGAAATAGAACTTGGTAACCTTTCGCAAACGAGTGCAATATGCACGACAGCCTCTCGTCCTCTCTAACGTGTTTTCTGTTTGATAAATTATGCGATTATACCGTGCAAAAATTTGCGGTCGGCAGTTCGAATAGGGACTTGGAACATAAACAGATCAAGAAAGAAGCGCGTTAAAGTTGAAAATTATCTTAAGGTTGTTGGCTTAGTTTGATCCAGTTTCGTAGCTCGGATTTAATGTAACACGAGCTAGTGCCTATCGTGTCTACAAGTGAGTTTGGAGAAAGATGGCAGTTCATTTATCCCTTTTACTCATTTGTGTTTTTAAGCAATCTTTAGCAACAAATGGTTAGGAAATGGATATTTTACTGTACCGGGAACAATCTTCAGTGTTTTCAGATGTTTTGCGACAAATTGCAGCAACTAGGAAACCCTACGGGAATACTTTAACTGGAAATACCGCTGTGGGATCATCTGACAAATTCGGATCCACTGTGAATGGAACAGCGTAGATCACTAATCCGTTAATCTGGAGTCAGATTCTTTGGATTTCAAATCCAGTGAATCGTTTTTCAAAAAGGATTCACCAGATCAAAAATCCGGATTTCGATTTGCCGAAAGGAACGCGAAATCCGTTTTAGGATCTAATATCCGTTTTTGGATTCACCGAAAGGAAAACACTCTAAGAAAGCATCTACCGCATGCACTTGTCTTTTTTTCCAAAGGCCAGTCTACTGAGGTTTTATACCAAGCCCGGTTGTTCAAACGATGGATTGCTTTATCCACCGGATGAATCACTATCCAGGGGTTCGGCACATGTGAAGTTCGACGTATGAATCGAAGTTGATCTTTCGCCGTTCTATTTGACAAGCTCAGTCGAATAGAACGGCAGAGTCGACCCAAATACAAAAGTGCCGTTCCTGAATTGATTCATACGTCGAACGTAACATGTGCCGAACCTAATAATTAAAGTTCGACGTTTGAACCGTCCCTCCCCACAGGGACAAAATACAAACTCCCCTAAAAACGCCTGTTTGGGAGGTTATTGGTCACGGGGTTTTGCCAAAGGAGGGTTTGACTGTCCTTTCACCTGTCACGTTAATTATATAACCCGCACCGCTTTCACTTGTTCGTAAACATTGTCTTGGGATGAAAATTCCTGCTGAACAGAACCTCTTGGTCGATGTTGAACATCGATCCCACTGGACAACATTTTTTTGGAAGGAAAATAACCCAAATGGCACGGGCAAAAGAAATCAGGATCACCCTTGATTATGAATGCAGACCTGTGAATTATAGATTTGTAAATATTGAATGTTGCTACCCTTTTGGTTGTCAATAATCGCGTGGCGACCTAAGAACGTCTCAGCAGATGACTGTCAAACAGGTTTATTTTTAGGTATAATCTTTGATCTTTCTGTAGCCTGCGAGCAAGCTCTCCTATTTGGGCAAGCGAAGTGAGCCTCGCGAGAACTCGCGAGCGAGGGGCCGAGGAAAGGAGAGAGCTCTCCTTGGCCCGGTTGCATAAAACCTACACTTAAGTGCCCACTTAAGTAGGTCACTTACGAATCCGTTATGGGTACACTTACGGGTGTTGCATGAAACGCACTTAACACTCTCGTAAGTTACTGTTTTACGTGGTAACTTACGGGCTCACTTAAAGGCACACGTGACTTTGATATAGTACTTTATTAATGACTAACTCTCTTTTTTTAAGCTAACCATCGGTGAGTGTAAAGAAAGTTTTTTAAAACTTAAAAGTCGTTTCGAACACTTTTAAGCCTCTCAAAACAATAAAATTTACATGCAATCGTTATTTTTCTTCAATGTCTACTGAAAATGATAATTCTTCTTTTTTCACAAAGTCGGCTTTAAGGTGTCCATCAGAGGTTAACAAAGCGCACTAGACAGAATAACGTGAAGAAAAATTACTTTTTTTCACTTCTCAGTAAACGATCTCGTTAACTTTAGTAAAAAAAGTAACGATACGGGACCTACATAGGTCCCGTAAATTTACGTGCTATTTATCCCGTAAAAAAAGTTTTATGCAACACCCGTAATTTCTGTTGCATAAACGACACTTAAGTGAACACTTACGAAAATCGTAAGCGCAACCACTTAAGTGAATTCCCTAAGTGGACCACTTAAGTGATTTAATGCAACTCACTTAAGTTACGAGTGCACGTACGTATACCCGTAGTTGTTACGGGCGTTTTATGCAACCGGGCCCTTTCCCCTGCCCCTCGCGGCTTTGCCGCTCGCTCGCGCGTTCTCGCGAGACTCACTTCACTCGCCCAAATAGGAGAGCTTGCTCGCAGGCTAATCTTTCCGTTATTTGTATACAGTATGTCTTATGTAATTTTAGACTTCCAACTGCTGATGTAACTTAAATGTCTTTTTATCTTAGGAGGAATAAAGATTGATTAATTGATTGATTGATTGACTGATTGGCAAGCTACCAATGTTCAAGAAATAGTGAACTGCGTAGAGAACTGGTCCAGGGAGAGTAAGTTTCCGTTTAACAGTGACAATTGTAAGGAATTACGTACTATATCTTTCGCTTAGAACAAAGTAGGGTTTAAACCAACCGTGGTGGTAGTTGG